GTTTTTCCAAGGCTCTGCAAACGTTTGCAGGTGTTCGTTCCCACCACTCCAAAGCTCCTCACAAAGCACCAATAAAACGAGCTGTCCACGAAAAACCGAAGCACCAAGTTCTCCAAGATCAGAGAAACTGGGAAATTCATGGAAAAACGGCTGTAGTGTGACTTGCCAGGAGCAGCAGGTTTGTACCCATCACACTGACCATAAATCAACAAATCTCTTCTAATTCCACGTTTATCACCCCTCTTCCCTAAGCTAAAAAGCAGATCCAACGTGAGACAGCAAAATGAGCTCCTAGAAATTCTGAGATGATTTCCCAGGATTTGAGGGCCTGATCAATCAGAATTTACAGTTTCACAGCCGGAATTTTTTTGTAGGAAAAGAGAATCCAATTTTTTTTGGGGGGGGGGGGACACAGAAAACAACGTTGCTGCATTGCCTTCATGCAGCCCCTCTGAAATGCTGCAGGAATTTTTGGCTGGACTCGAAGTTTACACAACTCTACTGTAATTCAGCGAATCCCCTGCATTTTCTAAGTGCAAACACAGCAAATCAATTTTTAAAAACCTCACAAGTGCAAGGAGATTAAAGCATGAAGCCAAAAAACTCTGACATTTTTGAGTCAGAATTAAGACCTGGCCAAAAATGACCCCACAGCAAAGCAGAAAGTAAAGCCCTGGGGAGAAGCTTCTCCCTCCAGGGAGCTGCGATTTTTCTTGCAAATTAAAAACTTTAAAGTACTTTTAAGGTTTCTCCCCTACAAAAGGGAAATGATTCTGCTCAGCTGAACAAACCAAGCAGCAAATCATTTATTTTTTTCACCCAACTTGCTGCAAACAGACAGGAATTCTTCCATTTTTGAGGTCTGGGTGACCTCACACCTGCTTGGCCAACAGGTCCAAACCCCCCCCTCCAACAGTGCTGTTCTTTATCTTAACTGAACTAATGAAATATTTGAAGTTAGGAATATAAATCAGGAGTGCTGTCCTTCCACCAAGGAGCTCAGCTTTCCACAGGTGGAATGCTGTTTGTCCCAGGTGACCCAGTGCAGACACACAGAGTGTTAATACTGGCTTTTGGTAAAGAACACGGTGATTTGCTGCCTTCAGATTTCCTTAAATCAGAGATAATTCTCCTTAAAAGTACCAGAACAAGCAGGCTGGATACAAGAATCCACCACAATCTCTATTTTAAAGCAGAATTATAGCAAAGTTATTCTTAGATTAAATAAATAATTAGGGACTAGTTCCCTTGCGTGGCTCCCTAAATTCAAACATCACCCACAGCCTCCACGTGTGCCTTGAAGCTTTAATTATTGATTGGGATGAGAAATTTCCCTGCCTTAAAAGGCAAGAAGTGTGGTGCACAAGCAGCCAGAACCCTCTGGAATAGTCCTGGATCAAGGTATTATTTAAATAAGTCAAACCAAAGGGTTTGTGATGCACCAGAGCTCCCCCAGTGTGCCTGACTGAAATATTGACATCAAAATGCTACATAAACACTCAAAACACTGGATTCCATGCAAAACTGGGATCTAGAAGGAGGGATTCACACAGTTAAGTCAAGGTTATTAGAGAACAACATGTGAGACTTTTGTACAAGCTGGAGAACAACGAGAAAACACCACGACTCTCGGGAAACTTTAAATCAAAACTGCAATACCAGGGGCTGAGCCCCATAAATATCTCCTTCAAAATAGGTTTTGCTTTTTTTTTTTCAAAGTGCAAAAATCCAACTAAACAGTCACCACTTCCCAACAGACGGCAGACAAGGCATTTTTTTTTGGAATGCATTTCACCTAAAGCAGTCTGGGTGTCAAGTGTTAATCAAAAGGAATGAGACTGGACCCCCCTCACCCTCCAGGATTTTGCCTGGATATCAAAATGGGACACTCGGGGATATTTGTAGGCTGAATACACAAAA